CTGTGGTTGCCTGCCCATTGCCTGCCAAAACTGTGAGCAGAGAGAGAGGAAATAATCACTTCAAGCAGATCCAGCTCTGCAGCAGCACGATTTAGAAAACACAGAGGACCTCAATAGATGGAGCAGCGCAGGAGCAGAGGGGGGAGCATGCGGAGTCTTTAGTTATTTAAGCTCTGTTTTATTGTCACTGCCTTCAGGTTTAACCCAACACACATGCAGGCTTGGCAGGCTGGTCTTGGTCTAGCGTTCCCCCCCGGTTGAACCCCAACTCCTCTCCCAGCACAGCAGCTTGCAGGAGGGTGATTTTTCCCTTCACTCTGCATCAGCAGGACTGCAGAACTTCTCCCGAGTGGTGGGTGCTGAGCATCCCTCCTCCTTGCCAACTGGGTCCTCAGCAGCTTGCTGTGAGGAACTGCAGACCTCCTTCCCTTCCAGCCTCCCAGGGCTAGCCCGAGGAAAAAGCTGCCATCATTAATGCTCTGAACACCATCCTTGTTGACAGAGATCCACAGCTGCCAAAGCAAGCATCTGGCAGGCGCTCCTTTGCTTTTATGTCCCGGCTTTTATTTAACAGTTGCTTGGGTCCAGCACGTGCTGCAGCTCTAAAACAGCCTCATCTAGGGGGAAAACCTGGGGTCCTGGGGGGTTTGGACTTGTCCTTTCCCCCCAAACTGCATTCAGCAGACACTTACCCACTATCCCGAAGGACAGCACAGTAGAGAGGATGAGTTTCATACTTGAGCAGGGAGTCAGGTGCCAGGGAGGGGGTGCAGCAGCCTTGGTCACAGACTGTCCCCTCCAAGTCTGTGATGGCTCTGAAACCGCTTTCTTCCTTTTTATAGAGGAACAGCCCTGGCTGTGTTTGCAGAAGCAATGACCTAACATTGTTTGTCCTTCCTTGTTTCTCAATAGCTCCTAAATCGCCCCCCTCCCTGGATCAGCCCATTTTTTAGGAAGCCTTTCACTTTGGCACCGAATCCCTCCGCAGGCAGCAGTCAGAGCAGGGCAGGGTGCTTTGCATTTTACAAGAGTTTTCAGATGGAAAATTCCCAAGTTGTGACATGTGAATTCCCCTGCAGGTTGAAACACCACAGGAGAGGCTATTTTCTTTGTGCTCACCACCCCCTGCCTTGCCCAGCCTAATCTCAGAAAGTCCCTGCTGGATCCAACCCCCAATTTTGCCTGTTTGCCAGGAACTGCTGCTGTTGTGCCCATTGCCCTTGGGCTTGCAGCACCCTGAGAGCCTGCCTGCTCACTTGCACGCTCTTGGCAATGGTTACAGGGTTGAAAAGCAGTCAATATTGCTTATGGATGATCTGGCAAGCTCCTCACACAGGCAAAGAAAGTCAACGGCAGCAACCAGACTGCTCGAAGGAGAGTATTTCCTTGCAGCCAGAGGGAAACATCACGCTGCACCTTTGTTAAGTTCTTGGAATGAACCTGGGAAAAAATGCTGAGATGAGCAGTCGCCCTCCTCCTCCTTCCTCTGCAAAACCTCTCCAGCCCATTGTATCGCTCCTGATTTATCTCCCTGCAGCCAGGACCATTGGGGCATGGCTGAGTTTACGAAGGTCTGCCTTCATGATGCTGTCCCAGGCTCAATATCCTGATCTTTGCTGCAGGCTACCAGAGCAGCTTCAGGTTGACTTTGGCTCATGCACACTAAATGAGGGTCCCTGGACCACATCAGTTAGCCCACAAGCCCTGGAAGCATCCCCAGACAGTACCAGCTGCTGGTCCACCCACCGTGTCCACCTGACACATGCTAGAGTGTTGTAGGAAGCCTTACAGACCAGTGAGGTCTGGCTCCCAGGTATGCTCTCAAGAGCATCAACCTCCCTTTATGATCTTCTAGATCTAGGTCCTTCCTCTCCTGTTGCCTGCACCCTCCAGGCAGCAGTGCCATGGGCTTGCCCATAGCAGGCTCCTGGCTGAAGTTGGCTTGAAGCACCTTGGGTTGCTCTTCTCCCTCCTCCCAGCAGGCTTAGGGCACAGCAACCTGCTGGTGGGTGGTTGTGGCCAGAGTGGCTTCAATGCAGGTGGGAGCCCAGAGTCAGGTCAAAAATATGGCTGTACAATGCGACCCAGGGAAGGGGGCTGCTGGAGACCTTCAGGCAACGACCACCTCTACCGTGGCACCATGAGCCTGTCCTACCTGTGACTCTGTCTGCTGGAGGTCCCTAAGGGCTAAGTGACAGGTTATTTCAGCATCATCTTTAGCAGTTCCTTCAGCATAGCTAGTTCCTATTTCTCATCCCTTCACCCCCTGCTTTCCCAGAATAGCAGCACCAAATGTATTGCAACTGGAGGGGGACTGACTTGCTCCCACCATGAGCCTTTCTTCCCTTTTAAAAGATCTCCCATCCACATTTACTCCAGCAAGCTGTGGCCCTCCAAGGTCATCCTCCATCACTGAAATCCATCCCCAGCTCCTCGTGGGTCTCACCAATCTTTGCCTCACTCAGGGTAGCCTTAGCAATGTCCCCATCCATGGGAAGAAGCAGCACAAGGACTCGCAGGAGGCTGTCCCACATGGTTCTTCCATAGCTTTTTGTTGATTTGTTCCAAAATGCCTCTTCTAACAGATATCCTGAGAGAGCCTAGAAATCGCAGTGCCACTGAAAAATCAAAGGTATCTGAACACATAAATAATGGTGAATATATTTGGACATCTTGACTCCACAAACTAAGTAGTTACAATGCTATCTAAAGCAGATAAAGGTATTGTTGCCACATGACAGATGAATGGGAAAGATTTAGAAGAAAGTTTGGAAAATAGAAAGGACCTGTTCAAGCAACAGAAGAACAGTTGCTGGAAGATCCCATATGATCTTGCCCTCTGACTTGGTTTAACCAGGAAGGGTCGCTGCCTGCCCCACCCCCCACCCTCTGGTGGTATGGGGAAGAGAAAATATAAACGAAGGGGGCTCAGGGGTTGAGACACGAGCAGTTTACTGGAATAGTAAGGGAGGAACAACACCAAACAACAACAACAGTGCTAATGAAAGAATATACAACGTAAAAAAGTGGTACAAACGGAACGAAACAGCTCACCACGGGACCGGCTCGTGAGCTACGGTACCCAGCAGCCCCCTCCTCCCAGAACTTCCCTGTTTAAATACTGAGCACGATGTCACGTGGTATGGAATACTGTCACGTGGTATGGAATACTGTCACATGGTATGGAACACCTGCCCTGGCCACCCAGGCCAGCTGCCCTGGCCACCCCCCTCCCAGTTCCCTAAAAACAATTAACTCTATCCTAACCAAACCCAGGACTCCCTCTGCACAGGGTTCCCAGCATTTTCTACATGGACCACCCACTGCTCCTCTCATCCCCAATGCACTTTCTATCTGCTGAGGGAATGGCTGTGCTGTGGTGATGTGATGGGTGGTTTTCACCCCACACCTCTTTCCCTTGCTCTACCAGATGGCATCAGGGCAAATCCAGGGGCAAAAGAAGAGGGTTGGATTGCAGTAGATTTTCCTGCTTATCTCTTGTCCTCCAGCCTTTACCAGTAACCTCCGGGATTTCCAGAGGTCCAGCCACTAGTTATCTGGAAAGTCACCAGCCACATACAAGAACAGGTTCTATACGTCCTTTTGATGCTGCCAAATCCTACCTTTCTCCATGATGAATTTCCATTCACCTCCTGGTGTGTGCCCATCTTGTGGCTGCTCCTTCAGCAGCTTTGTCTCCCATGGCTAAGATCCACTGCTCTCGCTGTCCGCAGAGCAGCTCTGTGGAGAAGAAAATCTTCCAACACACAGCTTGCCTTGGAGGTACCCAATGGCAGAAGCACAGCAGATTAGTGATGTGTCCTCTAGGCCACCTAGGCTTGAAGGCTCAGATTTTGATCTTCAATGGACCCAACAGACCTCCAAGATGCTCCTTTCTGGCAAATACATCCCACCAAGGGAAGTCTTGGATTGAATAAGCAAAGTATTTTGGGTGGCCTCCAGCTGCAAAATGCCTTCCTTTTGGAGTCCAAGAGGGACAAACTTCTTGGTGCAACCAACTTCTTCCCCTGAATGTCTATCAGACAACTGCTTTTCCAAATTTTGTGTTAGAAAATGCATTTGTATTCACACAGCGGGTCCTCTCTCTCACTAAATACACACACATGCTTCTACAAGTTCTAGTTAGATCCATACCTCACTGCCTGGGTGCACAGTTTTGTGTAAAAAGAGACCTCCTCCCATGCCCAAATGCATGTATCTGGCTGACTAAGATGAGACTGAACAACAAGGGCCAATTTTTACTAATGATGGAAATTCTTGTTGTCTTTCAAGGTAGGAGGTCAATGCACTGGCTCATGCAAGTAGGAACAGCTTTACCAGAAAGGACAGAGCTAAGCCAGTGCCTCTCAGACTTTGTCCTTGTTATCCAGAAAGCACCAAGCCGTCTATAGTGCACATCTTCATGAAACAAGCTGAATTATTATTATACATCACAAGTTCGTTGTATTGCAACACTACAGATCCCGGCTGTTCTGTTTTCAGAAAGAGGATGCTGCTAAAAATTACATGAATGATGAAGAAATACAAATGAACACACCCTCTGACCAACCATGGGTCATTGCTGATGCATAAACACATCTGAACTCCTAGGAAAGAACAGTGCTTGGCCTCATGCTAAGTAACATTGAAGGTAAAATGATACATCTCTCTCATTACTGCAAACCACACTGTGGTTTGTGGTTGAGACAAGGCTGGACTGGAGTTTTGGTTGTCTCCTAAGGGAAGAATATTAGTTGTAATTGGGCTCGGATAAAGTTAGAGCTGGCACAACTGGGAGAGGGCTTGGCTTTACCACGGTGCTGGCTGCTTCCCATGGCAGAGCTCATCCTGGAGCCAAGGCAGCTGAGCAGAGGCTGGAGCCAAGCTCTGGTTGTGTGTGTGTGTGTGTGTGTGTGTATGTAGAAAACATTAACTGGGGAGAGGGAAAGCTGTGATCATGGCACCACACCAACACAGGCATCTTGCTCGACTCTTTGCAGCAGTTATTTCCGTAGAGGTGCTCCTATCTAGCCGTGGAGGCCTTTGGAGCTAATCCTGCTCTTCCCAGGGTTCACCAGGCTGGCAGTTGTGTGATGAAGACCCACCTTGAGATAGTAAGGAGAAAAAGCACTGAAAATATATATTTTTTTTAAAAAAAGTAATCAATCAAACCTCAGGTGGGATGGGCTGAGGGCAGACTGCAATATACACCCACCAGGACTTTGGGCTTGTCTATAGAGCTGGCTTGTTTTCCTCTAAAATGGAAATTTCTACTTTGTGGCTCAGAGAAGGCTGGAGCCTGCCCATGACAAGGACATCAGCGTGGTCAACTGTGAAAGCTGGGCTCAAGTTCTTGTCCTGTCCTGGCCCTAAAGGTCACATTGCAGCAGGTAGAGCAAGAGGAGCAGCCTGATGGGAACCCATTATCCCAGACCATCTTACCTGCCCCTCTGTCAATAGCTCAGGGTGGGACGTGAGACTGAGTGGCACTGAACTAGCAAGAGTGCCCATCTCGAGATGGGAGATGACGAAGCTGGGTGGTGATGGATAGAGAAGCAACCCTGTGCAGAAGGACTTGGAGATACTGATGAATGATAAATTGGACATGAGCTGGCAATGTGCGCTCACAGCCCAGAGGCCAATAACCGTGTCCTGGGCTGCATCCAGAGCAGCGTGGGCAGCAGGTCGAGGGAGGGGATTCTGCCCCTCTGCTCCGCTCTCCTGAGACCCCACCTGCAGTGCTGCCTCCAGTTCTGGGGCCACCAACAGCAGAAGGACATGGACCTACTGGAGTGAGTCCAGAGGAGGTCACAAGGATGATGTGAGGGCTGGAGCACCTCTGCTGTGAGGACAGGCTGAGAGAGTTGGGGTTGGAGAAGAGAAGGCTCTGGGGAGACTGTACTGTGGCCTTTCAATCTATAAAAGGGCTTTTAAAAGATGGAGAGAGACCTTTTACCAGGGCCTGTAGTAACAGGACGAGGGGCAATGGTTTTAAAATGAAAGATGGTAGATTTAGACTGGATATAAGGAAGAAAT